TGAAGAGTACTTTAATCGTATTATAAGTGTTTATGATATGATGGATGTTAAATGGAAAAAAAAAACAAAGAACAAAACTGTAAATGCACTCTAAGAACAACTGTGAAACATAAAGATAGTTAATAGCAGTTGTGCTTGGTTGGTTTAGATTGTAGTTTTCTTTTTCTATCTTGCCAAATTGTATCTGTTAATAATTACAATATACATATTTTAATAAAAAATACATGTCATTATAAATAAGACACTGATTTTTTAAATTTTCTGGTTTATTCCCCACTCTGTGGCATATGTAAATCACCTTATGAGTGCAACCTTTATACTAAACACTATTAAAATAAAGAATAATGAATAACAGGCTAAGTTGAAAAATATATTTTGAGGCTGTTTATTCAGAGAAAGAACTGTTTTGACTATAACTCTGAGTACAGTATTCATCAATTAAGACATCAATGATCGTATAACTTGAAAATATTTCATTTAAGAAATAGTCTGTATTCATATGCCAGGAACACTTAAAATAATAAAATAAAACATTTGCTTTTTCTACTTGATAATTCTGAATGGATATGTTTTTTATAAGACAAGACATAAATAGGGAGACAGGACGCTATACCCAAACCGTGTTATTTCATAATAATGATCATAACTTATTCTTAGAACTAAGTGGTAAAAAAAAAAAAAATTGAATTACACATCAATCTCCCTACTAGATAGTAAGATCCTTAGTATTAGAAAATTTGTTTTCTATTTGGTATGCACATTATAAAGCACAATACCTAGTTCATCACAAGTAATTTCTTAATGTTTACTGAATGAATGAATACATATTCTCAAAGGAAAATGATGTGTACCTTTTATCAAATGTGCTTCTTGCTCAAAATAAGGGTTAACGATCCTTAACTCTGATCTGACATACTCTCTTCTAACATCTTTGTGATTATAACTTCATACTTTAAAAAGAGAAGCCCTTAGTGGATAATTAGCAGCAATCAAGAGAAGCTTAAACATGCCATAAAGGTAAAGTGTCTGTCAAGAACAATTTTTCTTCGTAGGAAATATATCTTGGGAGACAGGCTGAGGGCACATATCCAACAGTAGAGGAGGTCTGAGAACCATTTCACTGGAATACATCTCTCAAGCCAATCTTCCTAGACCAGCCACTGTGTCCAATGAAGGGGCGTTTTTTTTTTTTTTTTTGTTTTGTTTTGTTTTGTTTTGTTTTTAATGAAAGAAATGGTCTGTACATTTTGTGGAATCATTCTGCTATTGAGCCTGATTATGCTAATAGCTAATGAGTTTCTCACAGTTGAGGTGCTAATGTCTCAGCTGACTCAAAGTTTACAGTCAATCCTACTTTTATTTTCTTCTTAATCAAATAGGGGTAGTCAGTGAGACAATACCTACAATGATTTCACAGGGATGAACAGTATGCATCATTTCAGTAGGGCTTTAAGAAATAGTATTGTGAGGATTTTGTGCAATCAAGGGGACTTTGAAAAAGTAAAACTTAACGGAGTGGTGCCGTATCAACATCTCTGTTTTAAATGGCCCAGGTTTTGTGATCTATATAGATATTTAGAGGCACTAATGGAATTATCCAAGGAGTTTAGGTCAATTAGAGCCTGTTCCTAGTCTCTGCCATGTTAGCAAAACTTACAAATCCCCTAACTACAAAGTGAAGGCACAGTGTATTTAAGGAGGAAAAATTTAATAGAGATAGACAACAATGCCAGCACAAATAGATGTTTAAACCTGTTAGCTCAACTCAAAAGCTTTCCCTGAGGAATAATTCACAGTTTGCCTTTTCTGAGTGATAGGACATCTAATTAAAAGATGCCTTCAGCTTCAGGAATCCTCAGATATTAATTATTTATTAGAAAGCTATAAAATGCTAGTACTGTAAAAGGCATAACAATAACTCCTCCAGCATTTATTTGTTTATTTGGCTATTTTGAGGAATAAAGTACACTTCACTCTCTCTAGAATTTGGACCAATTATTTTAGATGATTTTTCATCAAGTGATTCCCACTTTCTAAATAATAACCAATATTAAAGACTGTGGGCTCTACGTTCATTTGGATTTAGTATGATTTGAACAGAAAACTTCAAATTGATCTAACTCCCTTGATTTATATACAAATATAAATATAATGGCTAATTTATAATCTATCAGATTGGTAGATCAAATAGCAGTGTTTTTAAACAACAATGATGTTGTCATTTCATTGCCCTTTCTTATTCCTTAATCACAATTGAACTTTCTCCCTCTTTTTTTTTTTTTTAATACTATTTTATTGTGTTTTCGGTGAAGGTTTACACAACAGTGTAGTTTCCCATTCAACAATTTCTACACAAGTTGTTCAGTGACATTGGTTACATTCTTCACAATGTGTGAACATTCTCATTATTTCCATTCCGGTTGTTCCCTTTTCATTAATCTAGTTTCCCTGTCCCCTTACCTTATCATCTCTGTTTTAACCTTTGACCATTTGGTCTCATATAGGTGATTTTTTCAAGGAGCACAGTACTTATGGGTGATATTCATTATTTTTTGAGCCACAATTGAACTCTCTTTTAACCAAATGTTATTGTTGTTATAAAAAATATTTTTATGGATAGTCTCTAGGTTAGGTTTAATTTCATGATATGCTATCAAAGTAAGAGAACTTTGCCTGTATAATATTAAAGACTGCTTGCTCAGGTAAAATTAGTTTTATATAATTGATAATGAAATAATTGTAAATCCAGCCATATCAAGAATTTAGGGTATATTTCTAATGATTACTTCTACCACTTTTATAGCCCTTTATAATTTGCAAAGTGGTTTTACATACTACATTCAGCTAATCTTGGAAATACTGTTTTAGAGGTGAGGTACCTGCAGGGCTTCAAACTGGTTCAGTCTGGTTTGACTCCCTGCTGAGAATTTGCCCTTCCACCCCAGATATATTGAATCAGAATTTACATTTTAACAAGATCCCCAAGTGATTCTTGTGTATACATAAGATTCAGTATATCTGGGGGTGGAAATGCAAATTCTCAGCAGGGGGTCAAACTAGACTAAATCGGTTCCAAGCTCTAGACACCTGAGAAGGAGAGACAGGTGTTAAAGGTCATGATCAAGACCACTTGGGTGGGAATGACAGAGACAGGGGCAGAACCCGAAGCTTCTGGACTTCATTCAGGGTCATATTTTGCATACTGATAAACTTTCTTCCAATGTGAAGAATTGTCACCACAACTGGCCAGTATTCATGAGATGCAGACACAGTTATTTTTATAAAGCTAATAGCTCACTGAGAAAGATATACCTAATTCACAATTACATTCTGATCACTGACCAACTGTAAGCCAATGACCAGTCTTGACTTTGGGTGGAGTAAATAGGAGTTATACAAAAGCCTCCTTAGCAGAATCTAAGAGTTAATAGGGACAGAAATAGATCAAAGCAGCAAGAGTACACTAATGTAAAAGACCTCCGGCTTTTTCTAGTAACTCTAATAAGTAGATTTTACATGGATTTTTAAAATTACCACCAGTTAGTAATTATGTATATAAAATTTACAGAATATAAAATGATACAGACAGATGATGACAGATAGATAAAGACGCAGAGAGACTGGTGGGAAGCTTAGTGAAATATATATATACACACACACATATATATATGAAAAATTATGCTTACACAAATTAGAAATCTGAGTTTTTATATAACAATAAAATACTCTTCTAGGGAGAAAGCTCACCATTAACAAAGGGAGGTTTTACAACTTATAAAATGATAAAGTACCTTAAATGGACCCCTCTGCCATCTTGGTGGTATTAGTACTAGATAATGTCAGAAACTAAAGTCTACATTTAGCACTGATGTGCATTTTAACATATTTTAGAAAATCAGAAAAATTAATACTAATCACCCCTGTATAGGCAATACTAAGTACTGTGTGAGGTTTGGTGTTAAAGTTGCCCAGTGCAATTTCTTGAGCAAATCTTGACAGAGGCACTGCTGGCATTCAACCTTAGGGTTTTAGCCTATGCCCCTCCAAAGATTAGGAGACACAAAAGCAAACTATGTAGAGAAGAAATTGTGACCGTATTTATACAGCTTCAAAAATCATGTAATTTTATTAGGTCACCATGTATTATAGACCTTACTTTTTAGTTCTAGATCAAAATTTTCAACTTCATGGATTTTCAAGGCAAAATATTTTATTTCTTTTGCTTTTTATATTACTACAAAACCAATCAACAAAATTCTGGCCCTGAATTATCTATTTACCACTAAATTCTGTCAATTTAATCCTTCAGGTGTTTTGCATGATATCAAATACTAAATTATTTTTACTTCAATTACTTCATTGAGGGAAAGATCTATATTAAAATTTAATAGAGATTAAACTTAAAAAGTAACCTAAAAGTTTTGCAGAAAATGCCAATCTCAATATAACTCAACATTTTGTCAAAATAAAGCTTTGTTTTAAGGAAAGTTATGTTCATAGATAAAATTGTATTTTGGTATACAAAACATGACAGTGGTATATTTAGTACCTAATATCATTCTGCTCATAGTTTAGTAACATCAAAGCTCAAAGTGAAGAAACAATGGATTCACATGAGGAAATATTTCTAGTGTTATTATTTTTCATACAACTTCAAAAATAACTATTGAATACAATGACCATTTATTCAGAAAGTATCTTCAGTGGGAGAAATAATGTGTTTACTTTGTTTATATTAGATTTTAAAATAGCCATCTTCCCTTGTTGAGATGATCTTCACCACAAAATTAAAGCTTCAGGTTTAAAGAGAGACACATTTACTAAGTGAGTACACTAATAATTACCTTGAATAGTTCGCCTGTTTTTCCTCTCAAGTAATTTTTTTCCTGTCAGAGTGGTGGGCTTTGTCAAGTCCAACAAAATATTTGATCCTATTTCATTTAAAAAAAATTTTTTTTAAATCAAGATTATCACCAAAGGAAAAAAAAAATGCCACCTACTTTGCTTTAGCTTCTGCATCTTCATATGCTTTATTAGAAACATCATCCAACCCTCCAATCAAATGCTTGAAAGAGCTGTAAGAGAAAAAACACAATGATTCAGGAAAATTCTCTATAAAGTAATAACAATGACAACCTAGCCAGGATTATATTGAAATAATCTAAAGGAATCTAAATAAAAATGTATTCAAACACTTAATCTAGATACATTATTATGAAACATATTAGTGATATTTCTCCTGATTAGAATATAAACTCTTTGAGGGCAGGGACCTGGTCTATCTTGTTCACCTCTATGGCTCCCAATACCCAGAACCTTATCAGGAAAAAGCAAGTCGTCAAAGAATGGAGTGGAATAAAGTCTGCAACACTTTAATTGATACATATCACAAAGTTAATAGTCATTTAATTATAATACCAAGATAACAAAATCTACCAACTATGGAATGCCAAATGTATGTCAGGTACTATCCTTTTAAATTAGTATTTGTTGCTGTCAGTTGCTGTCGAGTTGATTCTGACTCACGGCGACTCCACTTGTTACAGAGTAGAACTGCTCCATAGGATTTTCTCATACATGGAGTCACCATGAGCCGTAATTGACTCAATGGCAATAGTCTGATTTGTTTTAATTTTAATGGAAACAAATTTCCAGGCCTTCTGTGGTGCCTCTGAGTGGGTTTGAACCACCAATCTCTCAGTTAGCGATTTAGTGCAAATCATTTGTACCACCTGTTGTTGTTGTTGTGTACCTTCCAATTGAGCCCTGGTGGTGCAATGGTTAGGGGCTTGGCTACTAACTGAAATGTTGGCAGTTCGAACCCACCAGCGGCTCTGTGGGAGAAAAGACCCTGCGATTTGCTCCTGTCAAGATTACAGCCTAAGAAACCCTATGGGGCAGTTATACTCTGTCATATAGGATTGCTATGAGTTGCACCACCTCGGGACATTAAATTAGCATTTTCATACATTAATTCCAATTTTCAAACAAAGTGTAAAACACAGGCATCATTATCCCCACTTAACAAATAAGTGAAGTAATCTTGAAAGACAAAATAAATATGCAGAAGATAGGAAAATAATTAACCAGAGAGAATTAGGGAAAAATCAACACATTTTGAGGGGTAGTGAAAGAAGCTGACTTTAACATAAACCAGGAAAAGTAATGCAACTGGGTAAACTTAACCTATTCAATATCCTACTATATTTCTCAAACCGTGCATAAATATACTTTATACAGTGAAGTCTTTCATCTATTATATATATATATCTATAATATAAAATGGAGCCCTGGTTGTGCAGTAGTTAGGACTTTGGCTGCTAACCAAAAGGTTGGCAGTTTGAATCCGCCAGCTGCTCCCTGGAAACCCTATGGGGCAGTTCTACTCTGTCCTTTTGGGTTGCTATGAGTCGGAATTGACTCGACAGCAATAGGTTTGGTTTGGGTTTATAAAATAAAATATTACAGAGTCAGCAGAAAATGAATAAATAAATATACATATAT